GCAAAAGAGAATTAGTACCAAAGATTTTATAAACTGGAGACTAAGCAATATTCATAACATTGTCTTTACACAACAGATTTTATGAAATGTAGGATTAAGAGAGGACAAAGGGCTTCTTAGCAATGCCTTTTAACTATCTTTTATAATGTTCCAAAATGGTCACAGTGATTCTTGGTAAGCAACATTCTCAGCAAATGTTGTGTTTTAATCAGCAAAAGAGCATGCTAGATGGTAGCAGGTCATACATATGATGATTAATAATAAGAATGGGTTGATAATGCCAATAACTTCAGAGCCAAGAGAAAGTTAGGCATGAGTAAACATCTTTGAAGACAATGTTTGAACCTCTGACCTTGGTGCTTGGAACAGAGGAAGCTGTTTCTCACCTAGTGGACCTAATTATGCCTCAACACTACAGACTACAGAGTCTTAAATCTTTGTGTCAGCCATATTTTTATAGGAAATAGTTTAACTTTGTGTAGCATGTATGAAATATATTTGCAGTAGGAACAGATGTAGTTTTCATTTCTCTAACCAATTAAAATTGTAAGATTATAAATATAATATACATATTTGAACCAAGACAAATATCTCAGTCTTCATCAGGCCACAGTGAAAATATCTGAAATAGTACCTTCTCAAACTTGGACAGGTTTCCTAAAACACATTTGCCTCCAGCATCCATGTTTGCACTTCAGCATATTGTTCTGTGCTTAATCAGATACAAGCACAGTTTGTTTCATTCGTCTAATCTTGATATTTTTCACTTTGCTATATTTGGCTTAGACTGATTGCTCAGCTAAATATGTAGAATGGTAATTAGTTTAAAAGCATGGTAGATTTATAGAGCAGTTCTACAGTAACTCATTATTGGCTACACTGATCACATGGTGTGCACTAACAGAATTAGTCTGGACACACTGGGGTAAATAGGAAAGATAATATTTGTCAATCGAATGTTTAAAACAGCATTACCTGACCCAGGAATCAAAAATAAAGTTAATTTGAGATTTTTTTTTTTTATAGAAAGGAAATTCATGTTCCCTTTCAGAGGACAGAGTAGTTGTGGCAGGAACAACCCTTGCCCTCCTCTCTCTCCCAGCTGACATCTTTGTTATCTGGCACCTGGATCCTCCCACCTGGTCAGTCCCTGTGCTGTTCCCACACACACACATTCCCACTCAGCTGTCCCCACATTCCCACTCAGACACTGCACTCAGGATGGAGGGATATGTCTGTGCTCGAGACGGTGGGATATTCATCACATGCCCTCTTGGAAAAGAAAGACACCCTAGCGACTGAGGTACTGGTTCCAGAAGAATTAATTTTCCTTTCCTTGCTCAAAATTGCTTTATTTCAATCCTTAATTTCTTAATGCTTCAGTTATCCCTTTGTAAAATGGGGATAAAATCTTCCTTTTGTCTATCTAGACTGTAAGCATTTTGGGACAGGCACTTTGTTTTGCCAGGTACACCAGAAGGCTCTGAACACAGGACATCCTCATATTTTAAGTTAGAAAAGGAACTCTGGCAACATATAAGAAAAAAATTAAATCAGTTGTCTTTTGCAAAGGGCTAATTCTGCTAGTTCTTCTTGACCTGATGTCTGCATTTGCTAGTTTAAACTTCTCCAGGAATGAAACCAGGGTGATAGCCAGTAAAAATAGAAGAAGGATGACAAGTCTTGTTTTGGCCCAAAGTCTGTTGAAGTAAATTGAAAAACAGTCCTTTTGCTTCAATACTTCGTAGATCAGGCATTTTCACTTGGAATGGACTGAAGGATTTCACAAGTGAAAGGTTTCCACAAGACCTAGTTCTGCTCCTGTGCTTCCTTCACTGGGAAGGAAAATCTCACTGCTACTGAAGGAGGAGAATGAGTCTTTTCATTTACACTGGATTTTCTGAAAAAGTAAAAGGTCCTGGCAACTCTGCCTTTTGAACAAATATTTTCTGCAGAAGCACTTGAGAGTGCTTGTCTTAAAGAAGATTGTGCTTCAACATTTGTGTACTAAGAGTTTGGGGTATTCTGGTTGAGACCCCCTTGATTTCAACAGGAATCTTTCCATTCACTTTGAAGAACTTTGGGTCATGCCCTAATAGTGCAACTCTAGAAGGTTTCTATTCCATTTTCCCTAAAGATGTACGTTTTCTTTTTGCAAAATGATTATCATTACATGGAAAAATAGTGTAGTACTTTCGTAGATTTACAAAGATAAATGCCACTGTGCCTCTGAGGAGGTTAAGTATCCCTGGAAAAGCTATTTTTCATTATATTTGTTTAAATTAGAGAGGGGGAGATTAATTTTGAAGGGTTTAGTAATTACTAGCAGCTCTCATAGCTGTGATACAATATAAAGGCAGCTCATTTAAAAGTACATCCTTTACTTTACAACTAAACCCTCTGTAGAGTCTTGTCCCTGTTGTGCTGCTGCTGCTTTTCTTTTTAATTACACCTGTATTCATCTCTGATTATCCTGACAGAGGTGATATGTGTTTGTGGAATTTTCCACATTTCTTCTGCATAAGCATAGAACAATAAATGGTGGTGCTTTAGTATGTGTATCATGTTCCCATGTTTTAGGTCTGAATATCTCTAGCTTATAAGCAGCCTGCCTATTTAAATATGCAATCCACAGGTGCCTGGCCCTAATGTATCAGTAAAAGGCTTTATTCATTATCACAAAAAGTTTTTTAAATCTTTTCTTCCCTATCCAGGGTTCAAATGGGAATCACTGTGTGAGTGCCCACCCCATGACACAGCACCCCTCTGCAAAGCAGGATGCCCCAGCTGCGTGCAGAACTCCAGCTCTTCCAGCCCTTCAGCAGCTGGACACAGCTGGACACAGTACTGGGGAGCAGGTGGCCTTGGGGCACGGCTTGGTGGGACTTCTGCAGAGATGGGAACCCAGAGTTGGAAGTGGAAGGGGAAATGTCACTGGGAGAACACAGATGGTTTCAGAGAATGGTAGCGGGAGACCAGTGTAGAGAAGGGAGCCTGATGGGCTCGAATGGAAAAGATGGGAAATGCCACATGTTTATCAGGAGAGGAGAAAGGTAGGAGTGATGGTCTGGGGGAAAGAACTGGTGCAACAGTGGGGCAGAGCAGGCCCAGTAGGCAGCAAACACTCCCCCTCACCCTGAGCTCATTCCTCATGGGCACAGTTGGTCTTTGAGAGGAAAGTGGCAGTTACTTTGACAGGACAAAATTTGTCTCCCTGCTGTGTTTTCACTTTGTTTTCTGTCTTGCTCCCACTACAGATATTTCTTGAGGAAATCTCCCACCATCTCCTCTCCAGTTCTATCCACATGAATTTTCCACCATCATTTTCCCTGTTGCTTTATGTCCCTTTGTTATTTCTTAACTAATCATCCTGTTGGGAAGCTTCAAATTGATTTGTGTAAGGTGGGTTTTGTCTTCATGTACTGAATCACTGCTGAACAAAGTTTGGTATCTGTGTCTGCTGGCTGATAAACATCCACCAAAAATATCCATAAACATTCCTGCATACAACTTCAGAAGCTTGGCTGAAATGGATTGAATGGGACATAAATGTATAAACTCCTCAAAGGTAAACAAATTCTGGAATTGCTGGTGAGTTTTCAATTTGACTGTAGCTGTAGGGATATGCTGAGATACTGACTTATTTCAGACAAGCCAGAGGTAAAGAAGCCATACAAAATTACTTCAAACTTTTAATCACTTAAAAATGTAGGTAACAGGAGTACTGACCCCAACCTTAGCAAAGGCTAGATTTTGAAAGAAAATTGTATATAAATGGTGACTTTTTGCTTCTCTATTTCAACTCGGGAGCTAAGTGAGAGAATTCAAATATCAGGCCAAATACAGAAGCACAGGATGAATGAAAATGGATTAAAATGAGTTGAAAATTAATTTAATTACAACATATTACAGTGATGCATTCAATAGTTGCATCTCATACAGCATTTAGCAAGTAGGAATCCAAATTTTGTCCTGTGGCCTGTAAACACAACAGTAAAAAAAATGTTCCGTTTTTGAATCCTCAAGAAAAGTCTTAGGAAAGAATGGCCTTCACATGGATGCATCAGCTGTCAAAAATACTACAACAATTAAATACCAGTAACTGCAAATTTATTGCATAATTTAAGAAAATCTTGCACATTTAAATGGTAAGAGGTAGGACTGAGCCTCCAAGCAGCAATATATTTAAATATTTAAATGAAATTCTTATCCACAAGAGAGAAACTGCTATTTATGACATGAAGGCAAATCTCTGTTGTGAGGTTAAGAACAGCAAAGAGCAACCAGAGCATTTTACTTTGTTTTCAAATGTCAGGCGTTAAGTTGGGAAAATTTGCATGTGGCCATGGTTTGAGCTGTGGTTTGGCCCCACTCTTTTGTGCCACTCATCCTGCCTTTCCCACAGGGAGAGGTGGGATGTTGTGTCCAGAAAGGGGATCCTCCCTCCCTCCCTCCCTCCCTCCCTGTGCTTTCAGGCAGTGTGACTGTCTGGGTGATAAAGCCTGTCTGATGCTGCAGGAGAGAGGGATTATTAAGGCTTTACACAGTAGAGGTGTGATCTCGTTCCAGGTTGATTTCTTCTATGGGAATGTTCCAAATGACATCTGATATTTAACCATAATTGAGACATTTAGAAGCAAACTGATATTTTAGAACAGCCACTCCCCTGTTTTCTAGCATTGTATCATTGTGAGCTGCATGTAGCATAAAAATTACCATCACATTTTTCTATTTCATTCTCCATTCTTAACCCATAGGTAAAACTCTTGCTCACGGATACATCCTATTAAGCTCTGTCATGATAATGGCTGTTTTTCACAGGAGCTCACATAATGCCAAAGTCCCTCTTAAGCTCTGGAACTGAGAGGATCCCTACACCTTGTATTGGGACAGATCATCATGCAGCAATCTTTTGTAAATAAAGTACAGAAATAGGAGGTGAAATCCAGCAACCCAAACATCAGGTTGAAATAATATGCCAAAATATGATACAATGTGAGTCAAAACATAATATATATCTCTGTACATAATGAGAGCACTCAGAAAACATAATATTTTAGCATCTGAATAAAAAATAATTTAACAGAGCAAACTTATATCTCAGGAAAGAGTGAGTATGATGCAGGAGATGGATAGTTTTAACTCCCCACACTCTAAGTGGGAGGGGTTACTAAGCAAAACTGCATGTTAACCTGAAACATGGCTATGGTCTTTTGTATCTGTAATTATGGGATCAGGAATTCACAAATGTATCTTTTGGCAGTACGACACACCTCATCCACCCACTTGCCTTGGGATGAAAGGGAAAAAAACACACAGTTTTCACGCTTGCCCCCATTGGGCTGGGCACGATCCCAGTTGAAGTACTGCAGAACCATGCCATTGACATCCACAAATTTCCCTTCATTTATCATGTCAGTGACCCCCAGCCAGAACTCGGATGCTCTGGGCGTACTTCTCTTGCCATAATCTCGGAGAATGTTTGTTTCCTCGTTATTCCTTGGGATAGCCAGTGTCCCTCCCTTGGTTATGCAGTCTTCATTGGCTTCATGGAAATGCTTGGTGCCTTCTGACATGAGGTAGCACTTCTTATGGGCCTTTGTCCCACGGAGACACACTGGGAATAGAAATGAGTTTGTACATTCAGTACAAGTGTGGGCAAGAGCTTTCAATAATGGTTCTTCTAATGATAATTTTCTAAAGGTATGTTGAAAATGGAGCAGACAAGTCCCTCAGCAAGTGAAAGGCTTTGACTTCACAGAGTGGAGTTTCTTCTTTTACTGAATAATCCTGTTTTCACACATTTTTTACCTTATTTCATCAGTCTTGAATGGATAAGTTATGGATGTTTGTATTGCTGGCAGATGTGAATTGGTCATCATGAAACCTTTAGAGTAGAGACAGATCTTTATAGTAGAGACAGATCTAAATGTCTTCTAATATTTATGCTATTTAAGTGCTAAAGTAAAGTAAATTTTTATACCTTAACTAAGCTCAGTTTCCAGCAAGCAAAGGCAGGAGGAGTGAAAAGTGCTGTATTAAATGTGTCCTGCTTACCAGAAAAAAGATTGATTTGAAATTTTTAATGCAAATCTTTGAATGATTGCTAAAAGTGTATTTCCACTTGCAGAATTCATATTCACCTCTTTAGGTGTTAATTTCTTTCCAACAAAGTCCCCCCCTTCAAACTCTAAATTCAAATGAAGTAAAGTGACTTACATCTATAAGCACTTTTAAAAAGTGCACACTTATTACTGAGCTTGCAGGACAATCTGGACCAAATCTTCTAAATATTTGTATTTATAAATCTGTTTGCTTTTACTTCTAGTGGAAAATATAAGGGAAGTCTTGATGTAAAGTCCAAATGCACTAGAACATTAATTTGGCATATGCTCTGTAACTGGAATTGCCTTGCAGAGCCGCTGTCGGAGTCCTTCCAGCCCAAGGTCTGTGAGGGAATCCTTAAACTTTGCTTTCCAACTCTCCTAATGCAGATATGTGAAAAACTGATTCTCCCAAGAAAAATACTTACAGCAAGAGAGCCCTCCTTGATGGAGTGTTCCTTCTGAGCTGAGGAAGGTAGCAAAGGCCTTGAATAAACTCCTGTGACAATTATTTTTAGAATCCTACATGTGGCTACTTGCAGATTATTTCATTTATTGCTTAACCCCATCTTGTACTTACAACATCTTCTGCCCTGATGTTTTCTATAATCTGTTTCTAATTCCTGTCATCTGTTCTTGTAAGAAAGTAATTATGTCTCTGATCAACAGGATATGGAAATCCACTTTGGACCATATCCTATGTCTCAGTTTTTAGTATTTCCAGTTGTAATACTCACTGCATTCCTTAGTTGCATTTCATGGTCATAATTTTATTTTAGGGCTTAAATTTCAAATTTTAACCCTTCCAACTGCTAATGGCCAAAGAGGAGTAATGAACATATTTGTTAAATGTGGAGTGCTTTAACAAATGTTTGTGGAAAAGATCAGAGAGACTTTATCTACTTCAGCAATGCTGCATCAATGATAAAGACTGTCCATCTTTAGAGAGAAAGTATGTGTTGCAAAGTGATGTGTGGCAGCATTTCACATTTCACACCATGTAAAAAGGAGACCTAGGAAACTCAAGCAAAAGAAGATTTTTAATGTGTATTTTAGAAATGTCCATAAGCTAAAAAAGCAGCTCCTTTTTCAGTTATCATAAGGACATTAACAAATACAGTCAGAGCTGGGGTGGTGATAGATCTCTTTTTGTCAGATTTGGAATCCAGTTGAACAGTGTGGGTTATGAATTTAGAATAAAGTTCAAAATAAGTTTTGAGGATAAAAAAATCTCCTGACTCTGGTTTCATTTCTAAGCCACTGCGTGCTTATTCTCAAGCTCCTTCTGGAAGCAACACAAGAGTTCCTTTTAAACAAGAGTTACTTGTCTAGCACAGGCTCTCTCTTTTAAGAAACTTCTAAAGCCTTATTATAAGACATTTGAAATAAAAATATTTTGTAAAGCTCAAAAAGCTCTATTTAACTCAAGGCATAGAACTGGACAACCCAGATATTACCATTCCTAAGGAAAATATGTTCTTTTTAATAGGAATGATGTAATTTCCTCTGTAGTGTCTTCTTATACAAGATTAAATGCCAAATTTTATGTCAACAGCTGTGAAAAAGCACAACTGTCTAGTAGGTGCGTGTGTATTTATCCTTCTGATTTTGTTTGGAAATTTCCATCTGGTTATTTAAATACTTAAAGGACTCTGCACATTGGTGCAGGGCATTTCTGAACTCGCAGTGGATATACCTTCAAAGTTTTATGGCAACATTCAAATTTGAACGTTGCAAACTGCACATTTTAAATAGCTTCCTTTTGGGGGTATTCTGAGCCTTCTCCATGAATACTTTTGCCTTTCTGGTTAGCCCATGTTCATATGAAAACCAGGCACCTCACTCTGACCATTTAACCCTCAAACCCAGAAACCCTCGTTGTGTTGCCTTTGATGATATCAAAACTCACAGCTCTAAGTTGTCCAAAGACAAACATAATTTTTGTTCCAGATTGACTCTTGCTCTTAGTGAAGAATCGTCACTTGTTCAGACTTGATTTTATTTGAATCCTTGCTTCCACACTTGTCTCACTGGTACAGCTGTGGCACACCATGCTCTTAAGCAGTTGTATACCTTCGTTACAAAATCCCATGAAAGAAAGGAGTGGGAGTGAAGGGGAGAGGAGAGGCACTGAGAACTTCTGGAAGCCATTGACCAGTGTAAGTTGCTTTACCTGTCTGGAGTGCTTGCATTTCTTTCAGAGCATTTACTTCTCGCCACAATTTGTCAATCTGGGTCTTCAGGTCATCTTTTTCTTAAATAAAATCAATATACATAAAATAACAGATATGCACACACACACAAATTAAAAAATTACATATTAAAAGCTGTTTCAAAATATCATGGGTTGCTGCATTGCTGAGATGTGTTTTGATTATTTTTAAAGATTTGTCCTTAATGAAAGAATTCCTGCAGGATTCCTACAGACCTGTGTTACCTCCCCAGTCCTCCAGCTGCACCCTGGAAAGCTCCTCTCCACATTCCCTGCTGCCTGTGGGTATAAACCTCGCTGTCCTTCATGGCTTCCCCAAGGCAGGACTTCAGGTTCTCCAATCTGTGCTACTCTGTGCTGGCACAAAAGGTGTATAAGCAGTCTGTCCTTAGGATCCCAAACTTAAACCCCTGGAGATTCCAATATCTATAACTGCATGGCTCCAGAGCAGTGCAATCTTCTTGTACAATGGCTTTATCAAAGAGTTTTTTTCATTAGCCAGGAGTTCAAATATTTGCCACCAGTGTAACCTCCATCATACCCTCTTTTATTAGAAATAAGTCTTTAAATTAAATACACAGACATCTCCAAACAGCATTCTGTGGTTTTGTATTTGCTCTGTAAGCTTTGGTGTGGGAATTGATCCTTTATCTTTTCCTGCTAATCCTTTTTCACTGGTTTGACTTGCCATTTCACAGTACTTTCCACACAAGTAGAGTAATATTCCACAAATATTAGACAGATATTCTGTTAAAATTAGAAAATGGTGCAAAAATCTGAACAATAATCCTTGGAGACTGAATACTTTATTCTGCTTTCCCCCCCCGAACATGAATTTCCATTTTTCTGATTTTAATCAATATAACTGTGTAACTAAGAATGACTGGCCAGAGTCCTCTCTCACCTGTACCTGTGAGTTCTAAATAATGTTGACAGAGGTAAACAGACATAACAGAGCAATATATTTGCAGCTTCTATACTGCTCTATTTCCATAAGTCATACTGGCACCTTATTCTTGGCTTTGCTAACTCACATATAAATGTTTTAAAGACAAATATAGTACAGACTCAAATGTCCTTCGTTATTAAGCATTTGTTTAATGTAAGTTTCTGGTTCATGCAATGCTATTTAAAGTACACAGTAAATTTGCATAGACTATAAGCTTCTATCCCTCCTCCCAGTTAAGACCCAGTACCTTTCACTCTACGTTTGCTGTGCCTCCTGGCTTTGAATTTGGAAGCCTGGCTGATGGTCTGATCCACCAGTAGTAAGCTTATGAGTAGGAAAATCATAAGTCCAGTTTGTGCCATGTCTCTTTGAAAGACCTTAACAAGGACCTTCAAGAGATTCTCTTCAGCAGCTCTGAGAGCAAGTCACACAGACACATCTCAGTGGGGACCGCCTGAGGTCAGGTTTATAAAGTGTGGTGGTAGGGTTGGCTGTGCTCCTTGCTTACGAACTGTGTGTAATACTTAAGCTGGCTGTAGCATAAGACACCTCCTTGTTCTCATATCCCATCTGAAATTCCTATTTCCATTTTGAGCTCAGCTGTACCAGCACTGAACAGTGCACTGATTGCCTCACTTGTAAGCGCCGTATCTCCTGTTTTAACGTTGAAGCCAAAAACGTATGGAAGATCAGATGAATGCCCAAAACCACGCTGTGCAATGCCAGCCCCAAGGAGGGGGAACCAGAAGACTGCTACAAATGTCACAGGCTCACCCAGAATGGCTCTGTGCCAAGCTGGTTAAGTCATGACAGTGACCATCCTCTTACACTGAAACGAAACCAGAACATCCCTCCCTGAGTAAATGCAAACACTGCAATTACAGACCCACATGGAGTATATATACAGTAAGATCACATTATGTGAGGGGTGCATTTATTGCTTTATGAAGAGTTAATAAATGCCTGATAGATATGACTGCATTTCTGAGTTAGAACAGTCCATGCAACCAGCAGGGTCTAGTCAGGGGAACAAAAGGTAGTAATGCTCTTCCAAAGGTTCCCAAGTCCTGCCTGTAGGGTCCGAGGAAGAGTAAAACACAACATGCTTGAAGCAGTGTCTCTCCAGAGACACTTGAGAACTCTCTGCATTTGGATCTCTTTCATTTCTTGGGCTCTGTGGACTTTTGTGGGGCTGCCTTTAACTGGGGTTGCTATGGGAAGTAGAACGTCTTACTGATTTCGGTGGACAAATGAAATTGTCACAAAAACGTGCCCATCCATCACATTTCTCCTTTTTTTTTTTTTTTGTTTTTGGTTTTGGTTTTGGTTTTGTTTTGTTTTTTGTTTTGTTTTGTTTTGGTGTTTGTTTGTGTTTGTTTTGGGGTTTTTTTTGTTTCTTTTTTCCCCAGTGAGAGAGAACTTGTCTAAAATGTTGACGCCAAAGCCATTGCTGGATGCTGGGTGCTGGCAGGTGCAGTTCATGCCCTTCAGAACTGTTCTTCCAGACATCCCTTTGCCATTTCTGCTTCGACTACATTCTCCTTTTTTTCAGAACTGCAACAGCAAGAGACTTACTGCTTTATTAAATGAAAGCTGAGATTTAGGAACATGCTGGTGTTCCTAAATCCTAAACGCATACTGGCTTTTTCCAACCCCCACATAGAGTCTAAAAGCACTTCATGACTTATAATGCACACCTACCCCATGTGTCCTCGACACCTTTAAACAACTTGCTGTACTCTCATAGTTGGTAACTAGTAATTATCTCCTAATCATTAGTTAAGAAACTCTCCATAAATGCATCCTGATGTGATAAAACTTAGTTCCAGTGGTCCTGCTCCAAAATATTTAAGTATTAACATATATTTGGTAGGGAAACCTCTGAATTTTTGTGGTTGCTCAGTTCTCAGTGCTATTACAGAGCACAGCACACTGGAAATGGCTGTTGTGGGTCCCACCCATCCAGAACTGCCCAAAACATCCCACAGAGCTGCACATTTCAGTCCATGGTAAACGTGGAATGGGCTGGCATTCCAACAAGTACACTAGGATCTGAAATGTTAGCTGGTGGGGAGGAAAACAAGGAGCTTTGCAAGGGTCTAGTTCAAGATTTGATCTGTCATTTAGAACAAGCCCTAAGTTCAGGCTTGATCCATATTTTATTCCAGTGATATTAGGGCATCAATAGAAGTTAATTAAGGGCAGATGGCTGAATCAATAACTGCCTCCAGTTAGTTTTTCACTTGGTGCCTTCATAGATCTTGTGGAATTGCACCCAAAGCTGATCCTGAACCACTGGAGCTTACAACCTGACTAATTAAACTAGTGCTAATTCTGGGTTACCTTGATAAGGGAGCTTTAAACCCCTGGAGCTGTTTCATGCGGAGCTTAACTGTCCCACAGGCTTTGGGGGAGGCAGGACCAGTAGCTGGAGTCAATAAGCCTTTTAGTGTGAGTGTTTAAGGTCTCAGGATCAGAATGGATTTGTTCCTGCCCCAAGGAACCTGAGTTTGCTAACACAGGCTTCTTTTCTTTCTCTGAAATGAGTCTGACAGAGAAAGATTTGTACTGTACTGAGGTAACACACACCTCACTAGAAATGGAAGGATAAAGAAAACACAGATCTGGTATTCTGACAGTTCCTGGCCAAGAGTCTGAGTAAAAACCCTGTTTTTTGGAGTATTCCATGTAATGTCCTTTTAAGAACAGGGCTGAAATTCTGTTTTGAAAGCTTCAATGCCCTCGTTCACTAGTCTCTCTGACCATTTAACTGGTTTGCAAGTAGCTCAGCTGGACTTCACCCCTAAAAAGGGAATCACAAAGCTGCCCTTGCAGCTTCTGGGATAGACCACAAGGATATAGGGTCTAGAATTCATCTAGAGTACCTGAGAAATAGCTTTCATACTTATGACTAATCTACAGCAACTGAGGAAGCAAGTTTAACTTCTTGTATATGGTATGTGGGCAGGAGAGCCAGAGAAAAGTCAAAATATGCTCCTGAGAAGATGTAACCTCCCAGTGCTACTGTGAGGAAGCAGGAAATGGAGCCACACAGGAGGCCTTGAGCCTCCCTGAAGTGAGTACCTGGTCTTGTATGGGCTTGAAACAAACATTATAATGTCATTTAGAGATGGAATTTTTCTTTTACTAGCATAGTTACAGTAATATAATACAACCCAGGGAGTGAACATAATTATATATGGATAGAAGTAATTTATTCCTGGAACAAATTATTCCACTTTCCATAACAGAATGTGCTATACAAATATAAATATTCTCATAGTTTTATAGCTGCATCCAGACTAGGATGGAATCATGCTTTTTTTATTTGCACCAGTACAGTAGAACTTGAGCATACAGACAAAATTGTGGTTTCTCTTGAAGTGCTTAGTTCACTTCAAAGCACTCTTGAAGTGCTCTGTCTGGTAAGAAACATCTTGCAAAAACCATAGCTGTACTGCACTGGCACCAGGGGTTTTGGCTCCTGTCTCCCCACCTCATTCTGTTTGCTTTCAGACAACTGGACCATTCAGAGCAAAACCATCCTTTGGTAAAAGGTTTATTTTAGTTTCTCCACGGAGAGTCTTCAAGGGAAAACATCTATTTACTTCAGAGACAGTTCTACCTTTATATGGTCCTGTTAATTGGCTGAGAACCGTTCATTCAGCTGCTTTTTCCTCTTCATTCTCAGCCACCCAGGGGCTTCTGGAAAGAACAGGCAATGGGACAGAGTATGAGAAATCAGTGTGAGATGAGGACTGGATGCTGGGCTGAGCTCCTGAAATAGGTCTGGCTGCAGAAGTACCACAGTACTTTTAAAAAGTAAAAATCTTTAAAAAGATTTAGTACTCCAGTCTGTTGGAAAGTGAACTGCTCACATGTTGCCAGTAGACTGCCTGTGTTTTAGTGAGACCTACAGTCCCCTCGTGCTTCAGAGCTAATTGTGCTGGGGGCTGTTTGACCAAATGGGAAATGGATGGGCTGTATCTGTTACTGGAGTCAGAGCAAACACTTGTTTTTTGCAGCATTTCAATTCTGGAAAATTCAGCTCAGCTTCAGGATTTGTCAAAAAAAGCCTTGTATGTGAGTAACCATTTGCCCCTTCTGCTCACTATAAAGAGAAAATGAAAACTGAACAGAGCTGTTGCCAGGCTAAGGAAGTGCAAGCGGGGCAATCTAAAGAGCCAGTATGGCCAAAAAAAGTAGGTAACACAAAGATTAGTGAAAGATTTATCACCTCTGACACATCAGTTTTTACCACTGTCTTGGATGCTAAATGGGATCCACTGGTTGATTATTATTTGTTTCAATTTAATGTAGCAAATTTTGCAAATTCTCCAAGTCACGAATTACATCACGTTTTGAAAATTACAGTAAGCTCGGTTTCTTTGGCCTTGAAAAGTCTTGCAAGTCTTTCTTAAGGATTTGATCTCAGTCTAGTCAGGTATGAGGCAGGATTATGGCTGACATCCCAATACCAAAGCTATTTTGGGGAAATTTGTGCAAACAAACCATGTTTAAAAAAGGGAAGGGCTGGCCTTATGATATGTGAGGTTTTGTGAAAATTATTAATGATATTTCGGGGGTTTGCCACCAGTTTCAAGTTTTTTCCTGTCATGCTAATTTGGTGTTCTGAAAGAAAATTTGCTGTGAACAAGTCATCTGCTCTGTCTGTCAGCATTAAAGGAGGTCCCAGGTTTATTGCAGAACCAGGCTGCCCACCAGTGACCTGCACTGAATGTCACGGAGTTTTGAAATGAGGGCATTCATGTCTTCTTTAAATATGTGATGCTACTCTCCCAGGCATGTGCCTCACCTTGGCACTGTGGCACTGATACTGGGATTGATCAATAAATTGGCTTCTCAGGGTGGTATTTTCCTGTTCCAAACTGAGCTGTTATTACCTACAGGTCTGGTGCTTTTCACTTCCCAGGCTTTAAATAGAAGCTTCAAAAAAAGAAGAAATTGAAGATATAAATAATGTATGTGTACTGAAAAGGAATTAGGGCAGTATTTTGGGCTTCTGGAATAAGTGCTCTTTGTATCTCTGATTTTGGGGTCATTGTAACAAAGCACCTCACAGCTCCGTCTCAGCAAGCAGAGAAGAGGGGAAATGGTTTGCAAGAGGCAGCAGAAAGACTTGTCTTACACCTATCACAGATATTTAAGGCAAATAGCATAATCTTTTCTATGTGACCAAACTGTCTCACCTGTATTCCTTTAATTCTCATGTAACAGCAGTGAGTATGGATTATAGGTTGTAAAGTGGAGAAAATGCAGTTTATCAAAGTCAGAAGAGACTTGGAATTCAGAAGAGATTCACCAAATCTACACAAAGCAACGTGAAGAAAGCCACTGAGCTCTTCTTTTGGTTACCTGTCCACTGCAGTCTGCTTGGACATGGTGCCTTTTAAAGATGTTCT